GGAAAATTACTTAATTTTCTATATCTTAGTTTCCTAAGCTGCAAAATAAGAAAAATAAAAGCACTCAGGCCATAGAGTTGTTATGGGAACCAGATGAGACACCACATGTAAGGTGCTTAGAACAGCGCCTGGCACTCAATAATCTTAATAATAATTATTATTATCATTATATATATGTTACATAATTCCTCTGAGAGAAAACTATATGGACTTATATTGCATATAATATCTTACCTTTCCTCATAGAAATGTATAAATTTTCTCAGGTTGTTAAAAGTCTTCTACAAGGTGATTTTTTAATGACTGCAAAGTATTCCAGCTTATAGCTTTATTACAATTATCTGTAACAAATATCTATTATTGAACACATAAGTTTTTGTTTAAAATTTATGTTTTATTCATTCAACTTTCTTATTGCTAAAGTCTTTTCCCATCTTTAATTATTTCCTCAAATTCCTAGAATTGGAATTGTCAGATCAAAGAGGTTTTCATATGTTATACATCCTGTCTGCTTTCCAGAAACCTTGCACGTATTTATTATACATCCTCACCAGGAGAGCATGAGCTTTCATTTCTATGTGCCCTCAGTAATACTCGCTATTATCCTCCTTTGAATGTTTTGATTTATTTGATTACGAGTAAAGTTGAACATTTTGTTTATTCGCTGGCCAACAAGACAGACAGGCAGTTTTCCAGATCACTGGACATTGGATTAGGAAGGCAGGGTTCAGTGGACCTTGACTGGAGGGCCTCAGCTGCCTCTGGGCTGCACTTGGCATGGGGCACATGGGGTGGGGAGTCCAGGAGACAAACAGAACGTGTGCAAGCCAAGCTAACCCAGTTTACTAGTTTACCCAGAGCGAACTCTACAGGAGGTCTCTGATAAACTTTGTGATGGTTAAAACTATGAAAAGTAAGGAAAAACATACGGACTATTGTTAATTTTACACACATGAAATTGGCAAAACTCCAGAAAACAAAGAAGAAAAAACAATCACCCATGTAGTACTGCTGAGAATTAACCATTTTGACACATTTGATTTTGTGGACCAATACCAGAAAGTTTTCTAGTGCAATATGGATTAAAAAACAAAAAACAGCAACAACAATAAAAACCCAAAACTTTCTACTGTAGATAGGTATAATTTTGTCCATTTGTCTTATTTAAAACCCCCAAGGTACATATACATGTATATATATTAAAAGTGTGAAGGATAGAACCTATTATCTTGGGGGAATAGGGGGAATAGGGGTAAAAAAGGCTTTTACTTTTTATTCTGTAGTGATAGAAATTTTTTAAGCAGACTTTGTGAGTATTCATAAAATTTTTTGTCAATTAAAAATGCTTAACACGGCTCAGCGCCTGTGGCTCAAGTGGCTAAGGCGCCAGCCACATACACCTGAGCTGGCGGGTTCGAATCCAGCCTGGGCCCACCAAACAACAACGACGGCTGCAACCAAAAAAATAGCCAGGCGTTGTGGCGGGTGCCTGTGGTCCCAGCTACTTGGGAGGCAGAGGCAGGAGACTTGCTTGAGCCCAGGAGTTGGAGTTGCTGTGAGCCGTGATGCCACAGCACTCTACCCAGGGTGACAGCTTGAGGCTCTGTCTCAAAAAAAAAAATATGCTTATCACTACACTGTAGAATATTTAATATTTTAAAATTTAAAAACAAGTCTACTTTTAAATTATATTTGTTATATAAGTGAGTTATGGTGACTGATGGTTAAAGGATTAGCACCTAGAAAGAAGAAACACATGATTCATTGAAGGTGTTTTTTTTGTTGCAGTTTGGCCAGGGCCAGGTTTGAACTCGCCACCCACCACCCTTGGTATATGGGGCCTGTGCCCTACTCACTGAGCCACAGGCACTACCCTTCATTGCAGTTCTTAACAGGAAGTCTGTTTCTTCCTGTTATTCCAAGAGGTCCTCAATAGAAATGTAACAAGGAAAAGAATAGAATTATTAGTCTGGGCTTTGTATGTTGCTCTGCGTAGAGTGCCATGGCAACAGCCTAGCAACCTCAAACTCTTGGGCTCGAGTGATCCTCTTGCCTCAGCCTTCCGAGTAGCTGGGCCTATAGGTGTCTTCCACAACACTTGGTTGATTTTTCCATTTTTAGTAGAGACACGGTCTCTCTCTTACTTAGGCTGGTCTCGAACTCCTGAGCTCAAGCAATCCACCCACCTCACTTTCCCAGAGCACTAGGATTACAGGTGTGAACTATCATGCGTAGCCCATATCAGTTTTCTAAGTCTGAAGAATTTGGCCATATAAAACAATGGTTAAGATTATAGGATTTAAAGTCTGACTTCTTACTTAACAAAAAGCTTAGCATTTTTTTTTTGAGACAGTCTCACTATGTTGCCCTCGGTAGAGTGCTGTGGCATCACAGCTCACCGCAACCTCAAACTCCTGGGCTTAAGCGATTCTCTTGCCTCAGCCTCCCTAGTGGCTGGGACTATAGGCACCCGCCACAACACCTGGCTGTTTTTTGTAGCAGTTGTCATTGTTGTTTACCAGGCCTGAGCTGGGTTTGAACCTGCCTGCCTCAGTGTATGTGGCTGGTGCCCTAACCACTAAGCAACGGGCACTGAGCTGTGTTTTGGGACTTTTTTTTTTTTTTTTTTAGATGGAGCCTCAAGCTATCCCCCTGGGTAGAGTGCCATGGCATCACGCTCACAGCAACCTCCAACTCCTGGGCTCAAGCGAGTCTCCTGCCTCAGCCTCCCAAGTAGCTGGGACTACAGGTGCCCGCCACAATGCCCGGCCATTTTTTGGTTGCAGCCATCATTGTTGTTTGGCGGGCCCGGGCTGGGGATTGGAACCCGCCACCTTAGGTGTATGTGGCTGGTGCCTTGGCCGCTTGAGCCACAGGCATCAAGCCTGTTTTGGGACTTTTTGAGACAGAGCCTCATTTTGTCACCCTAGGTAAAGTGCTGTGGCATCATCATAACTCAAAGTAACCTCAAACTCTTGGGCTCAAGTGATTTTCTTGCCTCAGTCTCTGGAGTAGCTTGGATTACAGGCACAACCATAATGCCTGCCTGTTTTTAGAGATGGGCCTTGCTTTTGCTCAGGCTAGTCTTGAACTCCTGAGCCCAAGCAATCCACTGGCCTTGGCCTCCCAAAGTGCTGGGATTACATGTGTGAGCCACTGTTTAAAAACTCAGCATTTTTATTAACTAGCTGAATGACTTTGGACAAGTTTCTGGTATTTAATTATAGCCACTGTTATCAGCTCTTATTATGGTTAGGCTTTGTGTTAAGTGCTTAATTTATATTATTCATTTGATGTAAAGATACGGAAACCCTAGATACATAGAAGTGGCCTGAATGTCATGGAAGAACTGAGATTTGAAACCCAGCGATCAGGTTGAGAGTCATATAACCACTGTTGCTTCCTGCTACTGTCATTGCAGTTACGATTATTAAAGCCAACTCTTAATTCATGATAAGAGGGGTTAGGTGGGTAAGTCAAATCATATCAAATCCTGGATGGCCCTCAAACCTCATTTTAGTTTGGGCTGGAGTTTCTGTTTTCCCTATTAAAATCTCTAATAAAGCTTCTAACTGGTAACAAAATTATTAGGTTTGAATTATGTCCTTTTTCTTTTAATTGCAAAATTCTCTCTCTCTCTCTCTTTTTGAGACAGAGTCTCAAGCTGTCACCCTGGGTAGAGCGTCGTGGCATCCTAGCTCACAGCAACCTCCAACTCTTAGGCTCAAGTGATCCTCTTGCTTCAGTTTTTCTGTTTTTAGTAGAGACAGGGTCTTGTTTTTGCTCAGGCTGGTCTCAAACTCAGTAAGTTCAAGCAATCCGCCCCCTCAGCCTCCCAGAGTACTAGAATTATAGGTGTGAGCCACTGCACCTGGCCACAAAATTCTTAATAAAAAAAGATAAAGGTCAAAAGGCAGAAAGAAGGCACTATAGAATGGATAATATATAAATTTTAACTTATAATTTACAACTCAGGGATAGCCATCTCTGAATAATGAATGGTGGTTAAGCATCTTTGAAGAATTCCGATATGTGAACATATATTTTTATATTCTTAGGAGAAAGCTATCTGACCATACTGAATATTTAAATAAATTGAGGCTAGATGAAGTGGCTCATGCCCATAATCCCAGCACTTTGGGAAGCCAAAGCAGGAGGATTGCCTGAGGACAGGAGTTCGAGACCAGCCTGGGCAACATAGTGAAACCCTATCTCTACAAAAATAAAATTATTCAGGCATGATGGCATGTGTCTGTAGTCTCCCTAGTTGCTTAGGAGGCTGAGGGAGGAGGATCATTTGAGACCAGGGGTCCAACGTTGCAGTGAGCTGTGAACATATTACTACTCTCCAGCCTGGGTGACAAAGTGAGACTCTATCTCTAAAAAATAAAATAAAAAACTATGTACATATGTTGAACTCATAGGTGTCCTAGGTCATCATTTATGTAAAGTAGCAAGTCAAATTGCTATTGGAGTGCTATTTCAATAGGAGCTTTCTATAGATGCTTTCTGAATTTGGTTGTTTAGAAAATTCTTTCTTTTTTTTTTTTGAGACAGAGTTTGACTATGTCACCCTCAGTAGAGTGCTGTGACATCACAGCTCACAGCAACCTCAAACTCTCGGGCTTAAATGATTCTCTTGCCTCAGCCTCCCAAGTAGCTAGGACTACAGGTGCCCGCCACAATGCTTGGCTATTTTTGTTGCAGTTGTCATTGTTGTTTAGCTGGCTGGGGCTGGGTTTGAACTCGCCACCCTCTGTGTATATGGCTGGCACTGTAACCACCGTGCTATAGGCGCCGAGCCTAGAAAATTATTTCTTAAAAAAAAAAAAAAAGAAAGAAAATTATTTCTTAGAGTAAAAAGTCAAAATAGAAATCTAAGAGTCAAAAAATAAAGAGTTCAGTTAATTGTGGCAGTTTTGGGAGGACTGCTGCCCAGATTCTTCCTTCACATTATTTCAGTTGGATTCCTTCTATTAAACAATGATTTTTTCTTTTAGGTTGAACAAATCCTGGCAGAATTTAAGGTCAGAGCTCTGGAATGTCACCCTGACAAGCATCCTGAAAACTCCAAAGCTGGTAAGAATTAATAATGGCTGTTTCTCAGGAAAATGAATAGCAAATAGAACTAAAAAGCTGTTGAATAGTAACTTAATTTTCTTGTCTCTGATGCTCCAAGTTATTCTTCCACTGGGTGCCAAAGGTTGTTTGTGCACTGGTGGATGGCAGGAGGGGAGAGGCCTGTGTGGGGTCTCTTCTAATAGGAGTCACTTAACATGCTTTTTTCTTCCTGCTGTCATGTGCTGCTTTGTGGTTTGAATTTTATCCAGTTCACGCATTCTTTCAACAGCTATTGAGTGTTAACCTAACTTAAGTATGTTTGCTGTCAGGCGTTGTCTGCATGAGAACCTCGCTGTGATTCTTTTCTTTCGATGGATGTGAATATATTCACATAGTCATCCTTTTGCAGCTTTCCTTTATTGTCATTTAAATACTAATAAATCAGTAATCCTTCCACAGCTCGTCTCCCTCCTCGCTCTCGCTCTCCCTCTTTCCTTGGCTTCAGAGCCAAACTTCCTGAAAAAGATGTTCAGAGCTGATGTCTCTGCTTTCCTTCTCAGTTTTCCATTTTTCCCGCTCTGATTTCCTTCCCCACCCTTTCTCAGAAATGGCCAAAGACTTTCTGCTTGCCAAATCCACTGGTTACATTTTAGTTCTTACCTCCCTTGAGCCTGCTTTGAAATCTGGCATTCTCCACCATCCTTCCCTTCTTGAAACACTTTTGACTCTCAGCTGTCAGGATCATATGCTTTTGTGGTTTCCCTCCAGCCTTCTCAGGCTCCTTGCTCAGTCTCCTCTGTGACTCCTCTGTTGCCCTAAAGTTCCCTCCTAAGCTTTCTTTTCGGTTTACCGTCACTCCCCCACACTTTCTCCCTTGTCCAAGTCTATGGCTTTAAAGACCAGCTCACTGTTTTGTTGTTGTTGTTGTTGTTGTTTTTGAGACAGAGTTTCACTGTCACCCTGGGAAGAGTGCCATGGCATCGTCATAGCTCACAGCAACCTTAAATTCTTGGGCTCAAGTGATCCATCCACTTGCTTCAGCCTCCTGGGACTACAGGCACCCGCTACAACACCTAGCTAATTTTTCAGTTTTTAGTAGAGACAGGGTCTTGCTCTTGCTCACGCTGGTCTTGAACTCCTAAGGTCAAGCAATCCGACTGTCCCAGCCTCCCAGAGTGCTAGGATTGCAGGCATGAGCCATCGTGATGGGCCTGCCAGCTCACTGTTGATGGCTCCCAAATCTATCCTTAACCCAGTTCTTGCTCTTCATCTTTAGAGTTTTGACTGCTTCTTGGAAATCTCTATTTGAAAACATTTCAGAGTCACACTTTCAGAAAACCAGAGTCATTATTCTCCTTTCATCCCCTCTAAAATCTTGCTTATTTTTTTCTGTTTCCCTATCTCAGTGAAAGACACCAGCATCCATTCCCTAGATCAAGCAGAAACCTTGTCTCCCTCCTCTCCCTCGTGTCCACGTCTGGTCAGTTACCCAGTGCTGTTGATTTTCCTGCCGTATCTCTCTCTATTGTATCCTGTCCCTCTGTCCTCACTGCCACTACTGTAGGTAAGCCTCCATCACTTCACGCCTGAATCCTTAAAGCGTTTCTTTAATTGCTTCTCATTTCAGATAGAGATTTTTCTTTTTAATTATTGAAAAGCATGTACAAAATGGAACCAAGAGCACTATAGCAGGTCGTGCTATAGTACTACTGACATAGGTAACACCCAGCTTAAAACTTTACCAATGCGGTTGAAGTCTCTTGCGTTTTCCTTCTCTGATTTTATCCTCAGGGTAGGTAATATTATATCTTAAATTTGATGATTATATCTACTATATGTGTAAGAATGTCTATGTGATTTTTTTTTGTAATGAAAATATCGTACTAAGACTTATCTATAACTCCACATCGCACAAATCCAAATTCTTCTTCTTCATTTTCTTTTTGAGACAGTCTCACTCTGTTGCCCCAGGCTAGAGTGCAGTGGCCTCATCATAGCTCAAGTAGCCTCAGACTCCTGGGTTCAAGCGATCCTTCTGCTTCAGCCTCTTTAGTACCTGGGACTACAGGCACCCACCACAATACCTGGCGATTTTTAGAGACGGGGTGTCGTTCTTGCTCAGGCTGGTCTTGAACTCCTGAGCTCAGGTGATCCACCAGCCTTGGCCTCCCAGAGTGCTGGGATTAGAGGCATGAGCCACTGTGTCTGACTTAACATTTCTTCAGGATACATATTAACTACCTCACTGATCTGGAGTTAATATTAAGATAGATGTCCCTGCATAAGATTATTAAAATTTGATAAACATGTAAAAAGAACCATCTTCCTTGGTTATTCTTTACCTGGGTTCTTTTCCAGTGAAGCATGACTCTGAGTTGTTTTGTGCCCCTGACAAGCAATTTTTATTCAGGATGCATGATGAATCACTGTGCCGTTATTGCCATTTCTAGTTGCCATAGTGATGGGGGTTTTCATGTATGGGCTGCCTCAAGGCTTCTTGTTCCGAGAAACACTGGGCTGTGTAAATATTGTTTAAAATGAAAAGGTACACAGACACCAATATCTTCGTTTGTCAGGGGTGCAGTTGATATATGATTCAACCTTTGGGTAGAGATTTTTAAAATCTATTTAAGCATCCATCCATTTACTCAACTGGGATTAATATGAGATTCTGAAAATTTAAGAGGTTAATTACACACTTGGAGAAGATTAAGTTACTGCTAAAAATATTTTAAAATTACAAAAAATTCAACCATGGCCAGTGAGGTGACTCACAACTGTAATCCTAGGAGTCTGGGAGGCTGAGTCAGGTGGATTGCTTGAGCTCAGGAGTTTGAAACCAGCCTGAGCAAGAGCAAGACCCCCATCTCCACTAAAAGTAGAAAAACTGAGGCAATAGAATTGCTTGAGCCCAGGAGTTCGAGGTTGCTGTGAGCTAGGATGATACCATGGCACTCTACCCAGGGCAACAGAGTGAGACTCTGTCTCAAAAAAGACAAAAAAACAATTTAACCAAATACTGAATTTTATCTTGACAGAAACCCAGAGTATAAAGGACAGGTATCAACATGTGTCTCAGGTTGAAAGGCTAGGCTATAGAGGGACTGCAGATAGGAGAAACTTAACATGGGTATGTATCTTTTTTGGTCCAGTAAATGTAATCTCAACTGTAGCCATGGAAATTACTGATTTGTTAGCATGATGGAGTAATAGATACGAACACAGGCTTGTCTGTATGGATTTGTTCCCTTCTCCTTCTTCTGAATTAATTGACCTTGGACGAAGCACTCAGAGCCTCAGAATTCTCATAGGTAAAATGGATAGTTGAATAGTACATTGTTTTATGCATCTGTTGTGAAAATTAAGTGAGGTACCCTGCATGTGGGTCATGCTCACTGGATGTTGACAATTATGATTCAGTGGCTTTCTTTCCTTGTTTTTATGTAATAGTGGAGATAGAAATTTAACAGAATGGGATAGTTTTCTTTTTGGTAAGTAGCCATAGGGTCTTTGTTTTATTCATAAAAAGTCTAAATCCAAGGCTGTTAGAAACCCCTTCTCCTCTGCAGGTGTAGGGAGTAGGCAGGATTGGTTGGGCTACAGAAATTGTGTCACTAAGCCCAGAAGAGCCTCCAGGCTGCAGGCTGGTGCTCAGGCCAGCCTCTTGCACATGATGGTGACTGTTGCAGACCAACAGTTGCAGACCAACATGTTATTAACCTCTTTGTGACCATGAAGAAAGGAGGTTTCAGACTAAATTAAGGATCTGTGACATGGTGTTTTTGTTATTGATGTGCAAACTTCAAAAGCATTTGGCTATTTGTAGAAAAGTATATTAAAGAACAAATTTCTTTGTTAATCGACATTTTTAATGGCCTAGTGTTTTCCAAATTTAAAATCTCCTTATTTTTTTTCCATTAGAATGAAAATATAACAATAATAAGTTATGTTGAAAGGGAAAGTCTGCTTTTATCTCTCCCTGCCAGAGAACCGTTATTAATTTTTGTTTTTTGATAGGTGGGTACAAGGTGGTTGGTTACGTCTTTTGGTTACATGGACAAATTGTGTAGTGGAGATGTCTAGGTTTTTGGTGCACCCATCACCCAAATAATATACATACATTGAGGAGAACCACTATTAATAGTTGGCATGTTTTCCTCCAGATTTTTCTCAAAGCATATTCTGACTTCACATTACTGTTATTATTTCTCAAGTAATTATAAATGACATACAGTTAAAATGTGGTGATAATAATACAAATTCTACTGTGAAATATGAATTAAAAAATAAAAAACGCCTTTGTATTTTCAAAGTAGACCCAGGAGTTAAATCAGAATATCTCTCAAGAGTTCCAGTATTGGCTGGGCGTGGTGGCTCATGCTTATAATCCTAGCGCTCTGGGAGGCCGAAGTGGGTGGATTGATTGAGCTCAGGAGTTGGAAACCAGCCTGAGCAAGAGTGAGACCCCGTCTCTGCTAAAAATATAAAAACTGAAATAAGAAGGTCGCTCAAGCCCAGGAGAGTGAGGTTGCAGTGAGCTATGATGGGATGGCACTCTATCCAGGGTGACAGAGTGAGACTGTCTCAAAAAACAAAACAGGACAAACAAACAAAAAAAGATTTCCGGTATTATTTGCTCGTATAAGCTTATAAAATGAGATCTCTTTTTCCAGAACTGGTAAATGTTTATCTTGTGTGACTCATTTGATAATACACTAAAGAACAAATATAAACCCAAACTCGTTTTTATTAAATGTGGTGAAGAGGATGGAACAAAAAAAAAAGTCCACATTATAGTAAAGATAAAGTCCCTTTTTTTTCCTGCTTATCAGCTGTTGTTGAGGGATTGACATTAGCATAATTCTAAGCCGGCTTCTTTCATTCGGGAAATTCTGGAAAATGAGGCCAACAGCAATGTGCGAAATGAAGGTGACTCATAGATAAAATCATCAACCTTTACAACCATGGCATGAGTAGTAACTGGCATGTGCATCCTTGGTGATAATTTAATAAGCTTT